TGTGGTCAGAACATGCTTAAAGGTTTGGACTGCCCTAAAACAGCTCGCAGGCTGATGCTAGTTTGTGCATGTCGTCATAAGCCTGCACGTCATCTCAGCGAGTCTACTTAAGTCTCATCCTGTCTCCACCAGAGTGTCCAGTCAGCCATGTGTGGTACTTGCGCTACGGCCTCTTAGCTTTGCTCAGTTTCTGATTCCTTGTGTTTTTGCCTTTTGGATTAATCCTGCTTTCTGCATGCTTCAGGTCCACTACTCACTCTGTTTGCCAGCCTGCCTTGTTCTGCTTCACTCCACCTTGCTTCTCCTTCCATTCTCTCACCACGACTCATGCAGCCTGCCATTCTACTTCCCTGCTTCCCACTTACACATCAGTCATGTTCCTCCTCTGGCCTGCCCGTCTCCTCAGCCGGAGCCATGCAGCCTCCCTCGGCCCTCTGCCTTCGCCTCCCGATCTGCTTCATTTCCATTTAAGCCCTCTCCATCTCTGAACCCTGCATGTATTGTTCTAAGAACGTCTTCAAAAATCAGAATATGTGTCGTTCATTTGGTTTTACCTCATAAATGGAACAATTTTATGATGTTCTAAAAGTGAAGAAAGGCTCTGGTTATACTGAAACCACACTTGTGATAATATATTTAAAGGCAACTTAAGAAAAATGCAAACCATGCGAACTGTGCGAAGGGATTTTGGTGCAACATAAGTTATTACTTTTGTTAATATATTACAACTATACACATACAAATAGTATTTATCTATTTCAAACTTACTGAGTTTTACCTATACTGAGAATACATTAAAACTGTTGGTGTATTCCAATTACACAGTTAATTAACTTCTAACACTTTAAGTCTATTTAATACACACCTGTACCTAACAGTGTTCATCAAAAAAAAAAAATTCAGTCTATGCAAGCTTTTAATACATTAAGTATGAAGACATAAGACAGTAAAATGTTGTTAAAATGCAGAGACAGAATATTTAAGGCAAATTTATTTCGTTTTTACAGCGTATTTATAATACAATATTACACACTTTTTGTTACTGTGTTTTGTGGTTGTTATAAAGTGGGAGGGGTAAATTAAAAGCTGTTAAGATCCCCCCACAATCAGATGGAGTCCCAGCCAGTCAGAATTCAATCCAGGTGGTACCTCACACATAACTAACCAATAGTCGTCTGGCTCAAGCTTTGTATAGTCCTGCCCTTTAGCTGCCTGCTTCTTTCAACCATTCACAATATGCAGCTTCTGGCTTCTAGGCATGCTTCTGCTAACTCTAAAATGTCTCAGCGAGGAGCGAATCGTATCAAATGTTCTGCTGTTTGCTCCAAGAGTGAACACAAGCATGTGAGGAAATTAAGACGCAGTGGATCTTTTATTTTTGATGATAATGTCACCATAACAAGAGAAGAATCCTTAGTGTTAGCATGTTGTGTGGCTAAAGTGACCGTTGATCATGTGCTCATAGCTCAGAGTTCTGTGAAAAAATGTGATGAAGACGGTGAAAACTTTAAGGCTAATTTGAAACCAGTAAACAAGGCCTGCTGCTGTGTTTCCTTGTTATGCTTCATTACAAGTGTTGACATCGCTTTGCTTCTCTCCTGCTCCCTGTGCTCACATAAACGGCATTTTAAAACAGCTGAAATCCCACTAAATCTTTTCTCGTACACATATTTTTTCTGTTTCTGCTGTCAGACAGTGAAACGAGTATAAAATAGTGACTGAAATGCAGCCATTTAAGCCTACAGGTTAACCAGCTGTCACTTCAGAGCTATTTCCCAAGCCGCGGCTCTGCACCGCTAAACTTCTGATTTTTATAACCGCAACGTTGTCACAGCTGTGTGACATTCAGAGATATTTCCATGTCAAATGATCGCTCAGAGAGAACGTTAGGAAAATAGAAAGTCCCGGTGTCGCACACTCTTCCTGGTGTCGGCAGCCGTGCGGTCAGCTGCTTTTTTTTTCTCCACGGTGTCAATCACAAAAGCAGAGGGAGTTTTCTTCCTGGAGGGTGAGTGGACGGCAGCAGCTCATTGGCTTTCAGAGCAGGGCAGCCTGAAAACTAGGGATTATAAAGTCATGGTAAATTGAACCATTGTTGCCGTACTCTGAGCTGACAAATTGAAAGACACACCGTGGGGACATGTGAAACATGGAGCAATTTGCTGTAAAGGGGCACAATATGGGACCTTTAAAGCATGCCGTAGTGCAGTTGTCAGTGCATTCGGTGCAACTTAAGTGCTTCCAATTTAACACAGCTGTAAGGTATAAGAAATATGCTTTTACAGAGTATACATGAGTAAAGAAATGTTTCGCTTGGATGGAGCTTTTGAGTCCCCTTAGCGTCTGGCGCCTCTAGATAGTTGTCAGCTTTGCCTGGTTGATAATGCTGCCCGGCATCCACGAGAAAGACAGGAAGCAGAAATAAACAAAATTATAGGACTATGAATGTGTGTTAATAGTGTGACAACTGCTTTTAATTAACATGAAATTAGTCGATAGAAGCAAACAAAGAGGATGGAGTTTTATTCTGAGACTGCATTCAACGCCTTTTTGATTATAATGTGAAATGTCTGTTGTGTCAACACCACCGCCGCCCGTCTACCTGTGCACATTTATGGATTTCACTGTTTTCTTCTGAGCTGTCAACACGCCAAAGACGGTTTGTTCCATGTTACTCATCAATATGTTATTGCAGAGTACACGTTATTATAGTGAGGGTTGAAAGCAGTGTTGTTGGAAACAAGGAAAAGGCTCCAGAATAGATAAACCACTTTGTTTTTACTTAAGCAAGCTGAGCACAGAAGAACTGCTGAAAATGACATACAAGGTTTACTGACTTTCAGTGAGAAATTAGTGAATCAAATGTAAAATCATATCAAGTATCATCCTGGTAAGTTTGCAGCTCCAGACAGTACCATCGCTGTCCTGCAGAAACCTTGTAACTCCAGTCGCCATGGTAACTGCAGCTGACATTGGGTCTACAAATTAAAAAAACAAAAAAACAAAAACAAAAACTTTCATTGACCTGAGACTATACCAAACCTTTGAAAAAAAAAACCTTTTTAAAACCCATAATAAAATCAAATAAGTTCTATCACTTGCCGAGAGTTCGTCTAATTGGAGATAAAAGGATTTTGCAGAACAATTACAGTATGTGAGTACTGGTGTGCACCGTGAATAGTGACTCAGAAGTTTCACAACACCAAATCAAAACAAGTAACTGCAGAAAGTGTGACTGGCATTTACATGGAAAAGCTACATTACCACGTATTCTGGAGAATGTGTCTGTTTGTTCTGTCTTGGTAGAAATATTGAAATATAAAAAGCAATACAACCTTCGCTGGGAAACCAAACACAGAAACTAAATGTGCTTCTTATCTTAACATTGACTCTCCATATAAGGCATGAGTTTGTTCTGTTATAAACATTTTTTTGGTCTTTGCACTCGGTTATCTAAAAAGCAATGTGCACTTGTCCACAACCTGGAGTTAGATGGAGCGTTATTTACAGCGCTATATCCTCAGACCTTTTTGTTACCACGTCAGAAGGTTACTTTATGACTTTTAGCTCAAAAAGAAAAAAAGAAATTAACAACTTAACATTTACGATTTTGCCATTCAGTTTGCCAATGTGTTCACCTTCTTTTGGTACAGACACTTCACCAAGGACAGAACATCACTAACAGGCTTCTCACTCGGATGTTAAGCATAGATACTTACAAGTTTTCAAATGCCAGATAAAATGGAAGGGGGGGGAGGTGGGAGGGGAGGGGAATAAAAAGAAAATATTCAAAGACAGTAACTGGGTTCAGGATTATCAAATTTTTAAACTGTTAAGCATAACATAACAACTCATTCACCACATATATAATATTATCCCATTTTCCCTTCCCCGAAGATTGTTCTGTAGCCAAAGAAAATAGGGTTAGAAAAGGGGAAATCCTCTTCCATTAACTCATTTTTGAAGACCCCTTAGGAGTTCCTCTTTACATATCAAAATCGCCTTTATCTTTGCAAGGCAGAGGTCTTAGCTATGCTTAATGACATCGTCTCTCTGAAGTTCCAAATCGCAAAAACCCGTCGGTGTGAGAGAGCCTCTTAGCCTTGTCCAGTCACACAGTTTGCTAAAAGCAGGGCAGTAATAGCAAAAGTAAGCCTCCGGGCTAGCACGGCACAGCCTCTGAAAGAGAGTCCAAGTATCAGCTGTTCTCCTAAAAGTCCAGGACATGGTGCTGTTTGTCAAAGGTAAAAATATGATACCAGAAAACCAGACAAGAGTGACCACAAGACAGGCCCAGCATTCAGCCCTCAGAACTGGATGTTCTCTTAAACCAGACCAACTCAGTATAGGGCTGTCCTCCCTGAAGCAGCGACTCCACTTTCTAGGTGTAGCATCACTCCTGAACCTGGCCAGTGTGCTCAGCTCAGCTAGCTGCACAGCTGGGCCAGCTCAGGTTCAGGAGAAGCATTGGGAAGCTTGGAGTTGAAGATCTGTAGGGAGTCCTTGATGCGGGCCACCTCTCCGGCCGACAGCTTGAGGCGGTGGCGCAGCAGACAAGAAAACAGGTCTAGCGGCTGCGGCGCTGGTGGAGACAGCCGGTTAATCCGGTCCCTCATCTCCAGCAACATCAGGAAGGCGGCGTCCTGTGTACCCTGCGTGTAGGGGTAGTCCAGCTGGAGAATGAGATCCTTGATGCCTTCGGGGTCGAAGTGCATGCTGTATCCAAAGACTTTCAGCGTGTTGATCTTCATATAGCCCAGGTTGGAGGTCTGGTCATCCAGGTCCAACGGCTCATAGAAGAGAGTTTCATTCACCGTTGGATCGTCTGTGACTATGCGGCTTCGCAGGTAGATGTGCACTGTTTCAAAGAAGGACTTCCACTTGCTGCCCAGAGACAGAGTCCAGTTGTAACACTGTGCTGTGGCGCTGGCGTCCAATCGAGTTCTCTCCCAGTCAGGGAATTCAGGCTGAGTTACAGGCATGAACCAGCTCTCTGAGTGACTTCCCCCAAAAGGATTCACATAAATCGCCGGCACGGGTTCCAGTGTTGAATTCTTAGTGGAGCATATCTGAAAAGAAATGCCCATGAGCATGTGGATGAGATTGGACTTGTTTTTATTACTCTTCAGCGTCAGCAACATCCTCTTCCTCCAGGCCGGGTTGAACCAGCTTCCCAGACGGACGTCATTGCTGATGTAGATGGCGTGGACCTCTATTCTGCTGTCCAGTCGCTGAAGCAGGTACTTCACCTGAAGAGGGATTAGCAAACTGTGAGGCTGCATTCAATCCACAGGCAGACAGATAATGACAAGCATATTAAATGTACACTGGTTCTCAAACTCTCCTGTTTTAAATGCTTCGTCTCCAAACTCTGGTGTCTCAAGAGCCACAGCGAACATTTAGTAACTCTCCTCACAGGCTGAGTGGTGCTCCTCATGAAGAGTCCAATGACTTTTAAATGAACTTTCTTTCTGTCCAACATTGTATCATAAGGGCATCAATAATAAAATGCATTAAGAATCAATCAGATTACGAAGAACAATCAATAGTTTCACTAAATTCTACATGAATTTCTGTGTATGCTTGTCTCTTTGTTCTCTGTATATCTTGACAACTGTACACTCAATCTTCATCAGACTTGGTCCTAACAAAGTGCAGTCTTGGTTTTAAAGACCGGATGCCTTCAACTGGCTCATCCTGATATTCTTACCCTAACCTTAACCAATCTTGACATTGTATACCTTCTCACATCCTCATTCACCGGTCAATTGGGTAACACTTCCCTCATGAAAGCTACGTTTTCCCCGGCCACTCTGCAAAAACAAAATCTGCCTGCAGGTCTTTAGCTGCCTGTGAGTACAGCCTAAGTAGCCTCATCAAAGACAGCAGCAAATGTATAGTGTCAAGAGATGGAGTTCAACTCTGGTCACGGCCATACAGACCTTGACAGAAGTAGTACAAGGGAACTCATTTAATCCTTTGAATGTCCATATCTATTTGTGACTACCTGTCTTTTTATGAGGCTTCTCTTCTCACACTGCAAACAGCAAAAGGAATTCTGATCCTATTCGAAACTTCCTTCTTTATGTTTTGCTTGACTGGTCCGGCTTTTCTCACTAACACTGCATGCCTATTGTAGCTACTATACACACCGTTGCATGTTTAGTATTTTGTGAGTCTTACAAAGGGGAGGAAACAATGAAACAAGGGTACATGAAATGCATGCTCTTTGATTTTGGTTATGATCTCTACTGTAATCAGAGGCCCTATGTGTCTAATGCAGTCCACAGAGGTTTGAGAACCAACAGAAAACTCATATGAGAGCTCTGAGAACCTCAGCATCTGGCATGTCCAAGTCAAAGTTCAGATAATGGTCCAGGGACGCGGCGATGCTCGGTCGGCAGGAACCCAGATGGAGGAGGTTGCCATGGTGACAGGCTCCGCAGCGGGTGGCGTTGTCAGTGGCGCACAGGGAGCAGGAGGTGGAGACGGTACCCACGACACACGGGATGACACCCTGGCAGGTGGGCTGGTCCGAAGGGCAGCTACAGCTCCTCACCTCCTCAGAGAAGGAGCCCAGCACTCCATGCTCATTACAGTAGAGCAGAGACTGAGCCCTGTTCAGCCAAAACCCAACAGGCCTGCAGAGAGGGAAGAGAAAACACACTGATGCAATCATATGTACGGTACAGCATGCTCTAACTGTTTTAACAACAGCCAGCTGGAAAGAAGTGTTCCACGGCTGATTCACCCCTGACCGCGGTCAGCCTCACTGATTGGTGTGGTCAGAAGTGTTGCTGTAACCTCGTTCAACACTGCTTTCATGGTGTTCTGGAATATACCTGGAGCTGATTTCGCAAAGACAGATTTTGACATTGGTTTACATCGAACCAGCAGTCAGACTTCATCAAAGGGTGGATAACAAGCTAAGGAGTAGGAGTGGGAGTATTTTAGACAGAGACCCTACAATGTGGTGCTCAGTAAGCACCGCAAACTGGAAAGGATTACACAGTACAGAAGTGAAAGCATCCTGGAGCGTTTTGTTGAAACTGCAGCAACAGACAGCCTGTCCTGTTTACTGTTTTTCCCCAGCCAAGTATAATACAGACTATTAAGATGATAAACACATGGAGCGTGCTCTGTTAGCAGTAGTCACTTCAGATGGTTTTGTTCTCATCACTCATCAAATTGAGTTACTCTCATTAATGCCCGTGTGGCACAAAAGTGAAACCGAACGTACACTATTAATGTATATATTTACTCCAGCTATTTCTGATTCACTAATACGAAAGATTTTTGTGAATGTGGAGAAAATAATAATTAGATGTAAAAAGTGTGTACTTTTTATAGAATTTGTAGCAAATGGATTTTTTGACCCACTGTATTAATTTCATGTATAAGCCGGCTAAGCCCAGGATGTAGCACTGATGCCCCTGAAAAGTGTTGACTGTAACTTCCTCCTGTCACTGAAATGGCTTATTCACCAAAAATAAACAAACAGAGCTGCCTTATTTATGTGATCCTAAGCTTGGACAATACTTTAGAAGTGTAGGTTGCTGCTTGGAGATGGTTGATGCTATTTACGGTGGGATAATTTGAAATAAGTAGCACACAGATAAAGGACGAGGAGGAGAAATTTGGCAGATTTAGAACCAAATTCTACATCTGTCGAGTCAGACTACACCAAAAGTGGCAGATGCAGCAGTGAAGGCCACTTGCCTCCTCCTCCACAATTTCCAATGCTGGAAGGAGGCTGATGAGGAGGAAAGACTGTGCGCCTCCCTGACATCAGCTTGCGATGCAGCCCGGCCGGCGTGTAGGCAGCAACGGTGCCTCTAGGCGAGCTCTGGAAGTTAGACAGAGGTACAACACCTACTTCTCCACTCCAGCGGGCGAAGTTGTAAGGCAGCTGTGTGTTATCTAATGCCTCTCCAGCTCCATCAGGACTAGCATCAGGACCACCATTATGATCAAAAAGCACTCTAAATAGCCACCCATTTCTCGTGGAGAGGTGTGTTTTGCCTTGTTTTATCCCTCTAACAAGCTGCGCAGACAACAAAGGAAAAAATAACTGTGAGGGAAGAATTATTTTAGTCGTATTATTCTAATGAGCATGTATCAAGTACATAAACAAGACAAATTGGAATGAGAAATAAAGCTATTGCTACATAGGTATTCAGATCATATATGTGTGTGTGGTGCTGGACTGGGTTTGGGTCGGGGTCAGTGACAGGGACTCTAATGGAGCGAACAGATAAAAACACCAAAGCCCCTCTTGGAAATGCTTTCTGTTAATCTGACAGCATCTGAACATGCCGGCGTCATGTCTGAAAGGTCACCCTGTTTCCTGTAAGCGGTCGACCCCAGTAAGGTTTCCAGTCTGAACTGCGTGCCGTCGCATTAATGGATAAACACACACAAGCTTATACCACAGTTCAAGTTGTGTGAAATGAATCGTTGAAGGCTTTTTGAGCACCAACACGGAGAGCACAAAAGATACCGTTTGTGTGCCAGAATCACACAACACCTTCTCATTTGCTTTGCTTTTTGACTACGATTCTCTAAAAGCGAATTTCGTACAGCTTTTGACAAAAGCACTAACAAGAGCTGAAGTTCAGTTTGTTGTTTCCATTTGTTTGTAGGAGTTTTTCCTCTCACTTTATTTAATACCTGCAGCATCAGACAGCAGCAGGATCCATATGCGTGTCTTCACAGATTGAGTGCTGTGACAGCAGCTGTTACAGCAGTAACTTCATTAATTACTTATACATATAAAATGCATGCATACTGTGCACCTGTCAATCACTGCATGTCTGGAGGAAGCTATAAGGGACATTAACGTAAGAGTGGCTTATGTCACATCACTTAACAGATTGAGGAATGTTCCATATTGCATGTCTAAAAAGGGCTCAGAGCGCTCAGCGTGAAACAGACGCTCAGTGTCGCAACATACTGCTGGATTTTTTTATTTATTTATTTTTAGCTTAGCATAAATATGCTGCATTGCAATTGCAACTGAAAAAATACATTAGCCTTTATAAGAAAATAAAAATAAAAAATGCTTGGAGGTCACGCAGCGTTATACGACCAGCTCTGCATATGCAAATTTCTTAATTCATTAGTGGTTTCAATGAGGTTCCCTGACATCAAGGGGGGTCTGAGACATCTCACCATTAAAAATAATTGTCATTTATACACAGAAATACCACTGACAGGGTGAAGAATTCTCATGTGTAGGGCCACATGTCAGTGTTGCTCAAGAACCATCTTTTAAGTCAGGCTTTTGATTGATTTAATTGATTCAGTAGATTACTTTTTTTTTTTTCTTTTAACTAATTTTATTTATTAATTTCTCCATTTATTCACTTATTTTAATCTATTTAATGTACAGTTTCTTACTTTATGTTATTGTTTTATTAATATTATTGACAATAATATTATTGACTTCTATTTTGTCCTTCACCTATCTATCTATATTTTACTATTCTTTAATTTAAGTTTATTATTTTATGTTATTTAATTTAATCTCATCTGTTGTTTCTTCGCTGTACCTGTTATTTCCTCAGTTCCTCAATCCTTGTGTTTGGAGTCCCACATTTATAACATGACGGTGGGGTGGGGGGTTGTTTGTATCGTTTTATTGCATTTTTATTCTTTTAATCTGTAAAGCACTTTGTGTTGCATTTCATTTGCAGGAAAAGTGCAATATAAATATCAGTCTGCTTGATTAACTGATTGATTGATGACCGCTGGCAATCAAACCGGTGGCTCGTCTCCAGCTCAAAAAAAAAAAAAAAAACGACAGTCAAGCGGATTTATGCGAAATCTTGAAAATTTGCTTGAAGCGAGGACGTCTCCAGATCACACTGCTCCCATTTTTCCAGAGGAGGAAAAACTAATATTTGTTATTATTTATTTTTTATTTATCCACGGCACTTTGACACCTTTTTTGCAGAAGGGTGGGTGTTTGTGTATATCCGCGGTGGAGATGAAAATGCCGACATACATAAATTACCATCCACTTTGGTGCAGTAACAGCAGCAACAAGTTCAGACCGAAAATTGGCTCTGCAGAGATTCTCTCCCTAAGGCTCAGTTCAGGAAATCACACACAACATTGCCCAAATGCTCCAGCGATTCCTTCCCCCCCCCTCCTACCCTTCCACTCCCCCCCCAGGCCTGTGTAAATAGACAAAAATGAATGATGATAAAACAAATGGATTTGTGCAGAGGAAAACAGGAAGCTGTTTCCAGCTGTTGCAGCCCCTCCCCCCCACCCCCTACGATAACTTGTTGCTGGTACAAAGTGGGCTAAGACTCTGAGTGACAGGGAGGGTGAGACGGGGATGGAGAGAGCCGGGCGGCACAAAGGTGACTGAGGGAGAGAAATAAAGGCGAGAGCTGAGACAGAGTGCAGGAAGGGGAGATGGAGTGATGGGTGGAGGGAAAGGACTGTCAGGGAAATTAAAGTCCTCTGTAAACAAGTGCCAAGCTGTCAGACCGGGAGAGGACTTGATTACAGCGTGCCACAATAACACACACCTCACCCCGGCCAGGCCCCCACAACCTGTAACTAGACCCTTCATCTCTCTTCGCCTTTTTCTCGCTGCCTCCGTCCCAACACTACATCTTGCTTCCACCTCCCCTAAGTTCTCATCCCGTCTGCGATTCTACCACATCTTTCTTACTCCCTCCCTTTCCCTCCTTTTTGCGTCTTTATTTCGAGCACGGCGGAACAGACTTGCCGTGCGATGACAGCCGAGAGGAGCTCGTACGGCTCTTTTGCTCAGAAATCAACCACAGGTGTAGAATTCACTCAGGCAGTCAGTTAGCCTGTCATATTATTAGGAAGTGGTGGTTTCAACAACAGGGCTACTCGTTTTTTTTTTTTCTTTGTCTGCTCGGATGCAGTGGCAGTAAATGCTCATCAGCGGGGATTTTTTTTATTTTTATTTTTTTTCATAAGACTTTTCATTCGAGTTGATATTCATCTGCTGGCCTTCAGTAAGTTTTCTTTCTGACATTTATTCAACCGTCTGGAATCGGATGAATAATAAGGGTCTTGGTTGAGTCATTACAGCAAACGGTTTTTGGCTTATGTAAAATGTTGGGTAATATTCCGTTTGCGTGGAATTGTTATTAGGATTGTTGTGGGTCATGAAAACAGATGATGCAGTTATCAACTTGGTGTTGCTAACACTCTGTCAGCAAGCTCACCAGGTGTCACACAGCAACACAAAGAGCTGATAGCAGAGGCAGCCCAAAGTTGAAACACACAAAAACCCACACTGCCAGCAATCAACAAATGTTTTAAAATGAGAATCAGCTGAAAGGCAGCAAGTGTGTACCCCACACTCAGAAAAATAATGGTTCTTCTTTGGTTCTTTAGGAGGCTTTCTGGTTCTTTAAAGGGCCAGTTGAAGAAGCTCTTTATGTAGAGGATGGTCTGGTAAAGGTGTTTTTTATTGGAGGTATTTGATGGCAGGTGATAGCATGAGATGCAAATAAAGGTTGATTAATTAAGAAAATAATCTTCGGAAATGAACGACTAATGCCCATCACAATTCCCCAAATCCCAAACTGGCAACTTACAATGTGTTGCTCCATCTGACCAACAGAACCCAAACATTAACTGTATAATAATGATGGATGCAGATGTGTACATGTAAAGTCCATTCCTAAAATTTCAGTCTGGATCCACAAGTTAATACAAATTTTAGGGGTTTATGTTTTTCCCTGATGATTCTGTGTTTGACCAATAAATCCGTTGGACTTACAGTTTTAATACCTTCCTAGTCTGTAAATGAATGAAGTCAAAATGACCATCGACTATCTTGGTTTTCAGCCTACACATACTATTTTGATTTAAAATGCTCAAAGAAGCCTTTAAAAGAGGTTCTTTACATTAAGCAATGGACTATTTCAAAACTGGTTCCTTAAAGACTCGACTTATTTGGAGCCTTGGATTTATTGGGCCCAAGGGAACCGTTCATTGAGGGTTGTTTGAGGCACCTGTGGAACTGAAAATGGCTCTTCTATGCCATCATTTCAGTGCACAGTTATGTTTGTTACATTCCTGTGTGCGCAGCTTTTAGGGGTTTCCGTAAATCCAAAGCTTTGCTCTTTCCAGACAGACAGCTTTGGGTCTTCCCAGTGTGCCCCAATCGAACGTGCTGTTACCGAGCCTACAGCTGTAATAACTCAGCATAACGCATTCGCCTAAACTCCCGGGGATGACAAATTATGCCGTCTTCATTTAGTTTGTGTCAGTGCATCCCGGTGAGCTACCTTTCTCGAGGCAGACTGATGCGAGGTTGTTTAGGGCAGCGCTTGCTCAGGGTGAACAGCTTCCTGACGATCTTCTGGGCTTTTGCCAGGACCATCGCGGTGCTGGACTCCAGCTGGGCGTAGCGCTTCTGGAGGGACAAATCAGAGGTCCAGAACTTGGCGATCGTGGACACATTCAAGAAGCGGTCAGTGGGTAAGCGTTTCAGGAAGGCTTTGAATTCATCTGCAGGCAGAAACAGGGATGGGGGGGGAGGTAGAGAAAGAGGAAAAACAGAACAAAATTAGACAGCCTCCAGTAATTTATCACAATGCTCATTTTGAGCACTGCTAAGCCTATTCAACACATTCTGTTTTATCCCTGGTGGCACGCATAGATAATGACGGAGGAGCTAGGGGAGTTTCATGTGTCATTAGAATACAAAAAAAGGCTGTTATGTTCTAATGAATTGCCATCACAAAGTAAACACCTGTGCTTCAATCTGCAGTTATACTCATTCACTTCACCATTAGAAACCCATCATGTTCACAGTGGCATCACTGGCAACAGCGTCGTTTTCAAACGCTCGTTATCTGACAATTGGCCGTATGGTGTCACTTACAGATGGGCTTTTTCATTTGTATTCTTTCCTCAAAAGCCTAAACAAGTTACAAGAGCATCCGTAATCACAAGCTGAGAAGACCAATGAAAGCATGCGGTCAAATGGAAAGAGGTTCTTCGCTATCTCTGTGGTGATGCTCTTAAACATGAAAAAAGTCCCAAAAACAATGGCAGATTGTGCAGCTGTTACAGCAGCATCAACACGTATCCTAGGCAAAGAGGATATAACACCAGCCTTTTTGATGGTAAACTAATGTGCAACAGTGGCACCATAGCAGTTTAGTGGTGCACTTCCATAAACTAGAAAGACTCCTAACTTTGATGCCATGTTGACACCATATAACCGTAGCAGTGAAGCTAGTCGGACCATTCTGCAGAACTGAATCTTCACTATCATTCGCTATTTCCTGTTGGTATCCTTTAACTCAAACACAATCGTACTGACCAGGGTTAAGCGAATGAATCAGTTTCCTCAAAATAGTGACAGGGAAACATTTTTAGTGGAACATTTGCACCCAGTGGGGGTGAGAACTGCCAACCAAATGGTTAATTTACAGAAAAAAATCCACCACATATCCTCGCTAGGTGGTAGGTTGCTGCTCGAGGGCTGTTATTGTTCCCCTGCAAAAAATTGGAATTTAAAACCTTTCTATTAACATGCAGAGGAATCATAAAGTCACTGTGATGTCAGTCACCATATAGATGTACCATGAGGTGACATTAGTGTTTGCTGTCAGTGGTTAAAACCTGATGATTACAAGTGCTTTGGTTGTATATAAACCCACATGGTTCCTACACATTTCTTCAGTTCAAAACCCCGTGTTTTTTCAGAATCAAATTTCCAGCAGTTAGGTAAAAACCGCTATCCGTTTAATATGTAAATATGTGGTAATAAAACCCCAGCCATTACCACATAAGTTACAATCTCACTTAGACGCTGTTACGTTCCTGAATAATTGCCGAAGGATTGTAGCTCTAGGTGCTGTACCCTAGGCGCCGTCACACAAATTAATTAATACCAAACCCAGACAAGCTTAGTGCACAGCGTTTCATTCAAGCTGCCGTGCTAAAAAAAAAGAAAAAAAGTGAGCAACAAGAAAGAGCAGCGTCTTTGCCCATTCTATTTTTTCCCACCCTTTATTTTCGAGTCTCTTTTATAAACAGGGACCGAGAATGAGTTGAAAAAGCCAAATGTAATTTTCATTTGCAGCTATATTTACTCACTGTGTCCATGGAAACAGCACAGTGACAACTACACGGCATCGCGGCGTAACTGCACAGAAAGACTTCATGTCTGGTTATTTGTGATGCTATGTATGCATACGTGCAACACAAACATGGCGTTTTCTTTCACAATAATTTGGTGGCTGATGTCAGGATCCGGTGCAGTTATGCGACACTTGAAGCAGAACTGTTTTGCAGTCACGCACCGGACTTCTTGGCTTGCTTCTTGACAACGTCAGACCGGCCTGTACTCTCTCACATAGCGGTAAACACTTTGGCAGTGCCTGCTGCCTGCTCCAAAAACCATGACAAACACTGAAATTCTGAATTTGATTTTTTTTAGAAACTCCAACAGTCTGGGAACACAAACATTTTTCCATCATCTCTTTCTTTTTTTTTTTTCAAACTTCTCCAGACCTGGACATCGACTAAAATCTACTTTTTCATATTGTATGGGGACACTGAATGTAAGCTTTACCTTTATTACAAATTAGTTTTATGAGCTGTTTTCAGGAAAGTATGCCTGGATAAGCTGCAAACTTTAGCGCCTAATTTGTTGCTCTACAGCTACAGCACCAGCCAGAATGTACAGATAGATGTATTTACTCCATGTGTGCGAGTAGAATCTCAGACATGAAAAATTTGGGCACAGTCGGAGTAAATTACAGCGAGAACAACATCGGCACAGAACACATAGCTCGCACCCTGCGTCGGATTTGCCAAGAACGTCCTGGTGTTCGGATCATTTTAGGTCCATTATGAACCAATGGGCAAACATTATGCCAGTATGAAGCCTCTGGGAAACTTGAACCTATTATTTCTTTTTCTCCCAAAGCCAGCTAAGTGAGACCTTCTCGGATTGTTCTGGGTCTGCTGAAGAATCATATTCCCATGTGCTGTTGTTGGCAGGGAGACAGAGAAGAAATCTGCAGCCAAGCCGACCTGAGCCGAGCCCAACTGACGAGACTCAAACCTATTACAGTGCTCAGTGATCCCAGATGACACGATGGTCCGTCTCTCTCTCTCTCCATCCTCCTCTTTGTGTGTCTGCCTCCTTCCCTCGGTGTGATCTTTCTCTTCTGGATCGGCGAGTCGAGGTTGTCTCATTCTCTCTCTCTTGAGTTTTTCTGCCTCTGCGTGCTCCTGTCTGTCTGTTTCTGCATCTCTTGTTACCCCCTTCTCTCTGTTCCGCCCGCCTCTCTCTTCCTCTCTGCCGCCGACGAGAGGCTGAATTAGTACGGCGGCATTAACTTTCTTATTACTCTGCCGGCTGTATTCCTCAACTGGTTTGATTTTAGTGCTTGCTTCATTTCACCTCTTGTGATCTTCACAAAGCATTAAAAGCTACACTCAGCTAAATGTGAAGGGTTCTTTGTGCGCAGCACGCAGGATACAAGCCATTTCGCAGGTCAAAACCTTCAAACGCATTCCACGGCGAAGTCGCTATATACACCAAATGTGTCTCTTTTTCCTGCTGCTCTTAGAGACAAAATATGCTTTGAATTAAAAATCAGGCAGAGGTAAAGTAACTGTGAACCACAACAAATTGCACCTGAAATGATGAGGTACACAAGTGGATGAATGTAAATGAGGAGCTAGAAATTCAGTGCTGTTGTGTTGCCGGATGATGAATAAGGTTTTTATGTCTCTCATCTGTGGAGAAATAAGAGTGTGATTTACCAAATTTGTCAAAAGCGTTACATTTGAAACGACTCAGGAAAGTGATTATGAAGTTAACATCATTGAGGTTAACTTCAAGACGCTGAAGTAAACATGATTTGACAGATTGTACAGTGTTGCCATCACTACACTGATGTCGTCTTGGTTTTAAGGTATAGCCGGAGCAACACATGATTGACATTTTAAATACAAGTTGATAATGTCATGAAGATCGGTTTCCAATGTAACGTGACATAATTTTCGGCGCTGATCTTCCAAAGTTCATTTAACTTATGGAAACTGTTCCAATGTTTAAATCATATGATGTTGTTTTGGTAACACCAGGGCGATCCCAACTGGTTGAGCTGGTGACCCATGTACTGGGGCTATAGTCCCTGACACAGCGGTCGTGGGTTTGAATCCAGCCCATGGCCATTTGCTGCAGGTCCCTCCCCCATTCTTCTCCCCACTTTCCTGTCAAATAAAGGCAAAAAGGCCAGTAAAAAGAAAAAAAAAGAAATGGCAACACCAAATGTTTTAAGCCAACAATGCCGTTGACTAAAGGGGATGACAGCTAAATAGCTCCGTCACAATGTGGCCGTCAGTGGACATCCATGCAATCCTGCTAGCGTGATTGTCTCTGGTTTTAGCTAACCTTCTAGCTGTGGCTGCCATAATTACAGAAGCTATGTTTTTAATGGCTGTATGGCAAATGTAATAGTTGCAATGAACATATGTGCAAATCTGCAAACACCACGGACGCATACTTGTTCCAGTTGTGCTACTTTCTAGCCTGCTTGGACATGTAAATTGGTGTAGACACACAAACTACGTAGTCTGTACATTTGTATTATGAATCAAAATGGCCAATGCCCAAAAATTTTAAATCACACATTTATCTATTTGGGCTTAACGGTGGGCAACACTCATGGACTATAATTATAAAGGACTGACGAAGCCACTGTGACCCCATCCATTGGTTTTCAGGCCTCAAGTTTGGTATTTGGCTGAACCTGGACATAATGTGTAAGGGGGTGCTCTGACTCGCTCGTATTTATTTAAACCAATTATAATTGTATCAGGCTGAGCTAGGTCAAGGATAGAGCAATACTGCCCCGTAAAAACTGTGAAAATAGTGAACGAGGGATGTTTTTTAGCTGAACATTTGCAGAGCAATCAATAAAATGGCTAATTCAGTTGCACAATCCACATCCTTAGCAAAACTTCAATTTTCATGTGGTAAGTTTCTAGCCTGGAGTTTGGAGGGATTTCATATCTCATTTGGCCTGGGAACGCCTTCGGATCCACCTGAAATTGGAAAGTGTTGCTGGGGAGACCTCATGCATCTTGGCCAGACTAAACACCTATCCCATCTCAAAAAATAATCAAAGTATAAATGCATCCAGGAAGCTTTAAAAATGGATTGAAAACATGTCAAAAGGGTTTAAGGCAAATCTTGAAAATAGTAAATGCATTTGCCTCTCCAAAATATATCTGTCTTGTCATGTCGCACTGTAACTATGTCAGTAAGTAGCTGGTGGAAACAACCTCTTACTTTGTGATTTTCTTTTTTTTTTCCTTTTGTATCGGCAGCTAAATTTCCACTAAAATGACATTCTACTTAGACTGCTCCACTGACTCATACAATCAAACAGATGGGAACACATTTATCTGACCCCTGCTCAGGTAGTTATTAGCTAGTCTGTATGCGCCTATGTGAAAATGAAGCGTCCTAAAACCCA